AACCCAAAACAAATCCTAAGAAAATTTCAACTTGTTTAAAGTGTCGGTGGCTCAAAATAATCTTACTTTGTGTTTTGTTTTATTATGACAATTAATATGACAGAATTAATACGATACGCGTTCGAAAGGAGTGCAGCTCACTATCAACTAATCCCATCGCCAAAGAGTGATGCCTATAAGCAAACTGATATAAGGTGAAAATCTTTGTATTAAGTTGTTCAAAGTTGAAATAAAATCTCCATCACCAAGAATCATTAAAATATTTTTCGGCGTCCGATTTAGTTGGATAAAACCTTCCACAACATTTTAAGTGCCAATATCACTAGAATTCTTTCTGGTCATATCTCTGATCATAGTGATTCCGCTTGTCCGTTGTAAAATGGTTCGGTTGGTCTCCGAAACGTGCATGGTTGTTTTGCCAATATAATGCATGCTTCTTAATGCATTTTTTTTCTTCAATGCATATTTCTTGGGATAGCCATATCTAACAGTAGATGCATCCATTATGTTTGGTGTGAGACAATTTTCAGCGTCCAAAAATTTCGTCATCGATAGATAAATAATGTTAAATGCCAAAACTTACAATTGAAAAAGAAATTACAAAGAGCTATTAAATGGTTTTCAATCATATTAATATTTTTGTACACAGTCGATATGAAATTATAATAATTTTGTCTCTTTCAAACAAATTGGATGATATTAAATAGTTAAACTATTTTATCTAGAAAATGTATGCTATTATAATTTAACCTCTTTGAGTATATTTTGATAGTGTGTGATATTGAATGATTAGATAAGAAACCACCTTCAAAGCTGGAATCATAAACGTAGACATGACTTTCTTGGTCCCCGCAGGCTGCGAAAACAATTCATCGATTATATTTTGACATTCGTTAATCGATTGATCCATATATTGGTGTTTTCAATAGTGAGTGATTCCTTAATTTCGAGCTTGTATTGGTGTTTTCTTGTTCCAGTGTCTAAGTAAAAAATTCATGAGATACTGCATCCGCTAGTTCTTTTGCTTGATTTCAAATTAGAACATGTTACTTTGTTGATCGCTTGGTGTTAATATTTTGGAAGTTTTTATTCTTGAATCTCTTTAAGTTGTTTTTGGAAGATTTGCTTCAACAAATTATTGTTATTTGAAAATTTTTCTTGATTTCTAAAAGTTTCAAAAAATTTCTGATAAATTGGCGATTCCTTAACATATAGCTTGAGATGGCAACACACACACATATATATATTGATGATCATCACCATGATGTCTATTGTGCAATCACATCATTGTTGGGGAGCCAAGGTGTTGACGAGGGTATGCGCGTACATGGTTTGCCTTCTTTTCTTTGCGGGCATGCCGAAACTCAGGCCTAGTCTAAATACGTATGAAATACATTTTCTTTGCTAATGGCATGTCGAACTCATGAACATTGTTTTTATTTTTATTTTTTGTCGAACATTGTTTTGCTACAATGGCATCTCGTTGTCGAACTCATGAACATTGTTTTTATATTTCATTTTTTTGCTTTTATATCAACCGGGTCGAGTGAGCAAGAGACCAAGCTAACCTATACTCGAGTAACATGAAAATAGAACTGACAATTGAAAGAATGACATTTAACCTTTAGCTGTTCTTGTGTCATTGCTGAAATTGTGTCATACATTTGCATTCATTGAAAGGGTTATTGAGCATAAGATTTTAAGATAATTAATATTTATACATCAATATGAAGTTTTGATTTGCCAGTTTTAAAGACTATGCCTTATACATTAATTGGAAAGTGATTTGTGAGAATCCACTTATGTGTCATCTCCACAATCACTCTCACCAAAATAATGTGACATGGTTTGAAAATAATGTGTCATAACATTTTTGAATCAATAACAAAATATTCTACAAATAAATTTATATATGTTTGCATAAATAAATCAAAAGATTTTCAATCAATATTTTATGAGATTTTCGTTTTTCATTTTAAAGTTATATATAAATTTTTGTTTTCATCTAAAAATAGTTTAGAAATTGATTATTGTAATAATAAAATTCTAGAACATTTTTATAAAATATATATTATTTTCTTAATTAATAATAAAACTTACCAAATTTTTAAAAGTTGTGAAAACAACTTCCCAAATTTATAACAACAAACATAATTATTCTTTTGAATGGTTTTTTTAACACAAAAAAATTTGAAAGTAATAGAAAAATTATTTAATTCGAAAGTAACAAAAAAATATTTTTAATCCGTATTTCATTTATCACAATTTATAATTATATATTTTAATATTTTAAAATATT